GAAGAGGACTTTATAGATTGGTGTTGGACATATAGGCTAATATCGGACTTATGGACCTGATCTGGACTGGGATGTTTTCTCAGTGTTCAATTGCTCTTGTATATAAATCTCTTTCTTATACATATACGTGTGTCAATGGATTTGTTTCTCTAGTCTACCCAGGCTAACCCACCTGTTTATTTTCATTGTTGTCTAATAGTCCACGGTATAGCTATATAAAATTTTTTTACTTTACAATTGATGAATATCTGCATAATATTCATTATGAGGTTCTTTTTACTTTTGCATTTACAGCAATGCTGCTGGGAATACATCCTTGTGCATGTATTCATGCACTTCTCTTACTGTCCTTTTACTCTGTTCTTAATCAAGCTTTCTGCTTAGTCTTGACCTTTAGAATGCTCCTATGCATTTTAGAATCAACTTATCACATTGCATAAATCATGTGTTAAGATTTTGAGTAAAATGTCATTGAGTTGATAATAAATTTACAGAATGTTAGCTTTTTTATAATGTTAATTTCAGAATCAGTTTTATACATTTCATGAGGGGAGAATTGATGCATTCACATTATGAAGTCTTCCAGTTTGTGATGTATCTCTATGAATCTCTTTAACATCAATGGTTTATCATTTTCTTGTTAGAGCCATCTTTTATTAGATAGATTTTTAGGTGCTTAATAATTTCTGGTGCTACATTATATAGTATCTTTAAGATGTTTCATCTTCTATTTGCTGCTTGATACAAACACAGTTCATTGAAAAATAATTAGTAGCTTTTGTTTTTAGATCAGGTTTAGATTTAAAGAACTATTAAGCAGAGAGTACATTCAGAGGGTTTCTACATACGGCCCTGCAGTTCCTTCATCACTAACACCTTCACTAGTATGGTACGTTTATCACAACGAATAGGACTGTGCAGTGTTTCATTCTGTTTTGCGTAGGGTTGGTATGTGATGGAACCAATTTGATGCCACCTAATCATAGTAACAATAAACCAATATCAACACATCATTATTCATTAACATGCATAACTTACTCAGATTTCCTTAATATTTGCACAATGTCTCTTTTCTGCTCCTGGATCCCGATGAAGAAATCACATTATGATTAGTTTTCATGTCTGCAGGCATTTAGCGCTAACGGTTTCTCAGATTTTTGCTGTTTTATTGCCCTTGACGGTTTTAAGATGCACTGGCCAGACAAAGCTCTAATCTATTGAAATCTGTCTGATGTTTTTTCCATAAGTAGACTGGCTTGGGGAAGGAGAACCAGAGAGGTGAAGTGCCTTTGCATCACGTTATATTAAGGATTCAGCTTGCCTGGCTGATTTTGACTGTTTAGATTGCCCTAGGTCCCTTGGCTGCAGCAGTTTGTCGGGCCTCCTCTGCACATGCTGGACTCTGTGTGCAGAAGTTACGCATGCAGCTCACAGTGAGGAACTGGTGGTTATTACCCCTGTCCGTGAGGGTGATCTGTCGACACAGTTCATGTGGAATTCTTCTGCATGAAAGACGTGTCTCTCTCCCCCACTCTCTTTACTAACTTATTCAATTATTTATGAGCCTAGACTCATGAATATATCTATAATATACAATTTATGCTTACACACCAAGTTAACATTTAACACCCTTTCTAAATTTTCTTAATTAAAATTTTTATTTTTACATATTAACTTAAATTTATTTTTATCTGGTTAATTTGAATAGTTTTTGTGAAATGCCTACATATGCCATCATATAACTTGCAAATAAAGAGTTTTACCTCTATCCTAATCACACATATTACATATTTCGAAACCTTGGTTTTCCTTGTCACAGGATTCTCAGTTGGGCCCTTAGTGCAATATGGGGTATCAGTGCGTGATAGCAGGCATTCTCAACTCGATCCTAAACCCAGAGAGAGGGCCTATAAGTTATATTGACACATATTATATGTAATGGAAATAAGCCAGCCAGCCAAAAATCTTAGCCTTTGAATTTGTATTTCGAGTCTTAAGAATACAGTTTGGTCAGTGAAAATCATAAATCACTGCCATCAAATTGATTTTGACTCATAGCAACCCTGCAGTCCATAGGAGAACTGTTCCCATGGGTTTCTAAGGCTGGACGTCTTTACAGAAGCAGACTGCCACCTGGCTCTCCTGCAGAACAGCTGGTGGGTTTGAGTCAATGACCTTTCTGCTAATAGCTGAGTGCTTTCACCAGGGTGCCATTAGGGCTCCTGTTGAAAGCTGAAGGAAGGGAGCAATATTTGCTTCTTTACCAGGTCTGTCTATTGATTTTGAAGGTTTTTTCCCATGTTGCCATTCACTCTCAAAAATTTGTTTTTCTGATCTGTGTACTTACTGTTTACTAAGTAAAAGGTGATACTGTTACTGAAGGCACATAACAAAATAAGACATTTAAAATCTTTGTTGTCACCAAGGGCTCAAGTAGAAAAAAAAGGTTTTGAAAATGATGATGGCAACAAATGTACAAATGTGCATGACACAATGGGTAGTGATAAGAGTTGTACGAGCCCCCAGTAAAATGATTTTAAAGAAAAAAAATTTTTAAAAAGCAAACAAATAAGTAGAAAGAGAAAGCTTAAAGGGTTGCAGAACAAAAGGTACACATTTGATCACCTTTTTCAGTTCACATACAAGGAGGACCAAGAATACCTTTATGGTAAGTCAACTGCAAGTGAAAACTAAAATACAAAAACAAAAGCAAAACTTATTTCCCACATAGAAACAGGCAATTGTATGGTACAAAGCTAAGTATATGATACAGTTATTAAAATACTCGTGATTTTTGCTGGTATGAAAATACCACTTAATAATCTGAGTCAAATTGAAAATGAGAAGAAGTAGAAAGTTGTGGTTCTTTTCTTTTCATGATACCTTTGACTTCCTATATAGTGTACTGCATCTGTGACTTGCTTTTGTAGGAATCCAAACGCCGGATGAATTACTTTTTAGATGTTTTCCTATTTCCTCCAGAAGACTTAGCTTTGAATGCAGCTGTTCTACTGTGGCCTGGGAAAATTAATCCTATCTTTGATGAAAATGATGAGGTAAGTTGTGCTTTGAGTATGTCCTCTTATATTTGGACAGTTTTGAGACGTGTTCATATTTAGGTTTTATACATATTTGCCTTTTAAAAAGTACCTTTTAGAAATAACGTCATGTGTCAACCTGAGGTTCAGGTGAAAGGCAGTGAAGTCTTAACTCACAGTGCCTGCTAAGTCATGAGGCTGAAGTGAGAACTAGCGTTCCAAGTAACAGAATAACAGTGAGCGCCATGGGAGGTGCTTTCTAGTTAATAAATCACTTAACACCACAACCGTCCCCAGACTCCTGTTATCCGACTCCATAGATGAGGGAAATGAGACTCAGAGAGGTTGAATAACTTGCTCAATCTCACTAAGATAAAAGAAGTAGCAAGTTGACGATTTCACCTCAGACTGCATCGAGTTCAGATTCTGAGGAACTCCTAACAGAGCCCATTTACCCTGTCTTGAGAGGGCATGTGTAAGTGGTATCAGTCAGAGACACCTGGGCTCCAAGGCAGATTTCAACTTCTAGTATTTTGTGCTTTCAGACTTGCTTCTCAGACTCTATAAACTTCAATTTCTTCATCTCTAAAAGAATAATAATAAATGTGGTAATGAGGTTAGGTATTTGCTATGTGACCAGTAATAGGTAGCTTTTATTATTATCCCAGGGGTCTGATAGATAATTTAAATGCCTAATTAATAAATAAGAGTTATCAGAGTCACTTTGGGGATCTAGGGATTATTTCCTGAGTGGCTTATTATTCTTTGCATTTTTACCTCAGTCATTATCTACAATCTTTTATTTTGTATTCATTTTTACTTTGCCTTTGAAAAAGCTCATTGAGAATGCTAAACAAAAAAGAGAAAGTGAACTAATAGCCAGGAGAGAGAAACTGATGTTGGAAGTAGAAAAGGAATCGAGACGCATGGAAGAATTTACAGAATTTGCGGAGCTGGAACGCATGCACCAGGTCGGTTAAACATGCCAGGGAGGAGCTCTGGCGGGCCCCCAGATTTAAATAGGGCAGATTTGCATAGTCACACAGGGACAGGGTAATGTATCTTACTGTGGCAAACAAGAGCCTGACTCTTGGGCCTGCCGTGGCCTTCTGCCCAGGTGATCTTTTGTTTGTGACATAGCTTTCTATTCGTAAGATCTACCTAACTGAATCTCTTGCAATAATGTTGTGAAATTACTATTTAAAATTGCTTTATAAATTTAAGGACCTATCATGCAGTATCTTATAATCTTGTTATAGCATTACTTGAATGCTTCTTGAGGTAAAAAACCAAACGAAACCAAAAACGATTTGCTTTCAGTATGTGGCAGATGTTAGACAACTGCAGAAACGTATTCAGGAGTCCGAGGAAGCAGTGCAGTTCATCAATAAAGAAGAGGAGCTTTTCAAGTGGGAGCTGACAAAATACCCTGAACTGGAGAAGCTGAAAGTGAACATCGAGCCCTATCACAAGTTTTTTACTCTCATTTTGAAGTGGCAACGAACGGAAAAACGGTAATATATTTTTTCTGGTGATGTAATGAAAATGAAGTAAATGGCAGAAAGGGATTATCAGTTGATTGTATTTTCTTGGGTATTTAAAACAGAGCTTAATCTACTCACTTTAAGGTGAACCAAGAATGGGAGAAGTATCAATGTTGCTAAAGTATCACCCGACTTGACTAGTGAGGAACCTGGGTAGCATAGTGGTTAAGGATTGGGATGCTTTCCTCAAGGTCAACAGTTCAGAATCATCAGTCACTCCATTGGAGGGAGATTAGGCTTTCTACTTCAATGAAAAGTTACAGTCTTAGAAACCCACAGGAGCAGTTCTACCCTACCCTATAGGGTCTGACTGTGAGTCAGAACTGACTCCGTGGCAGTGAGTTTGTCTTTTTGGTAACTTGACTAGCTAGGCCTGGGGCTGCCACCCGGTCAGCAATGAACTACTAACCACAAGGTTGACTGTTCAAACCCACTAGCTGCTCCAAGGGAGAAAGATGGAGCTGTTTGCTCCTGTAAAGATTTGCAGCCTCAGAAAACCTATTTAGGATCGCCCTAAGTTGAGATCAACTTGGTGGCAGTGGGTTTGGATTTTTGAATTTAACTAATATAACATCTAAAGTCTCGTTTTCGTTTCCCAGAATTAATCCACTTCTTAATGCAATTAACCTAATGTTTTTTGACTAATGCTTACACCATAAATTAGAGATGTTGAGTCAGATTTGCATTTTGAGACGATACCTTTATTCAGTCTCCATTTGCAAACCTGATGCATATTAGCAGCTGCAGGATGGTTGAAAGAATGACTAGTTTTAAACCTCTCGTTTTCAGGTGGATGGATGGAGGGTTTTTGGACCTCAATGGGGAAGGAATGGAAGCGGATGTGGATGAATTTTCTCGAGAAATTTTTAAGACACTGAAATTTTTCCAAGCCAAACAAAAGAAGGAACTACAAGAAAAAAGAAAAACAGCAAAAAGACGCTCTCTGGTAGAAGAGAAAACTGAAGAAGAACCAAAAGATAATCCTACTATTAATATGTGTGCTGCAGTAATGGAGCAGATAAAAACCTTTAAGGTATGAGAAGACTTAATGATATTTTAATATTATAAATATATCTTTCAACGTTCTAGTCACCATTGTATAAAAAGTAAAATTCATCCCTGATCTTACTTTTTATGTATACCAGGAGTCTTCTTGTGTGTAAAATGGATTTGGTGACTACTGGAAGCACCTGGCCCACCACGATAAGCCAATCCTAATACACCATCTCTCTGGCTCTAGTGATTGGTTCAGGAGTAGGCATGTAGCCCAAACTGGGTCAAAGTTTTCTGTGAAAATTTTGAACTGCATCTGGGAAAGAAAGTCCCTTGTCTGTTTTTATAAGCTGTAAGGATATGAATTAATCAGAAAAAAATAGATTTTAAGATTTCTTTTTCAGTCCTTCAACCTCTTGGTCGAGTTCTGACTCCCCCCCATTCTTCTGGTTCAAAAATGGGCACTGTGAAAGAGCTGAGGGTTCAGCATAGGGAAGAAGTGGTGAAGACCAGGAGAAAGAGTGTTCTTCCTTTCATCTTTTGAACCCAAATCATTAAACCCCTCGCCATGAAGGGACACTGGTATGTGGAGAACAGCAGCCACATCCGGGGCTAGGGAGGAGAGAGGCACGCAGCCAGCCACATTTTGTTATATACTGTGGCAAAGGGCTCTTCAGGCCCTAGGAAAGTAGTAGAAAATTGTTCAGACACCTCACTGAAAATAACACCAAATAAGCCTATTGAAAACATTGGAAGCTGAACCACATTTTTATGATGTACTATGATAAAACTAAATGATCATAATGAAACAGATTACCATTAATCAAGCATAATTCAAATATTGTATGATATCATAACTATTTCTTTTTTTCAGGATGAACATGTTTTAAGTGTATTCTTTAAGTCTGTGAAACACTTAGTCTTTCCTAAAGTGGGTGATACCACTCCCTGGGGTGTGCTGGAACGAGCCAGGGAGACTGCAAAAGCAGATACCTCCACTTTATCCTGGGTATGGGCTGTGGTACAAAAGTTTGTAATTTCCAGTGGGGGTGTTGAGGGGTTTTTTTTTTCCCCCTGACAAGGGGCAGTAGGACAAATAAGTTTGGGAACCTATGACTTAGATGAAGAAGGATTTAAGTCCAGAGAAGTTGTTCTTAGACTATGAATCTTAAGAATGACCCAAAGATGACCTGGCAGAGCCCCTTATACCATCAAGCGATAATGAAGAGAAATTGAATAATGCTAATGGAAATATTTGGAAGCAGAATCAAAGCTGAATCCAGGAACGTTGGTCCATGTTTCAGTCTTTCTTCATGACGTCACGGAAGCCAGTCCCTTTATAGAATGCTGTTGTATGCCACTGAGTGGATTCTGACTGATAGCTACCCTACTGGGCAGAGCAAACCCCCAGCTCTTTTCTCCCCGGGAGCAGCTGGCACTTGGAACCGTTGATCTTTCCATTAGCAATTAGTTGTGAATGGTTGGGAGTCACAATTCTGCACATAGTAGTGGCATACCTGGGGCAAGGCACACCACATTTCTGTGTCTCAGTCACTTGATTTGATCTGTATTTCCCCAATTTCTAACGATACTGATTGCCCCTTTATATTTTATTCATTCAACAAATATCTATTGAGTGTCTGCTATGGAACAGGTACTGAGGTATTGTCACAACCTCTGCTCTCATAGAATTTACATTCTATTTGCCTTTCATTTTCCTCCTCTTCTGTTAGTGTTTGCCTTTAAATTGTGGATTTAAGGGATTTTTAAGCCCTACTCCATGACCCATGGGGTTGCCAGGAGTTGGAATGGACGCAATGGTAATGGTTGGTTTGGTATACCATGTTCTGGGGAATGATCCTTAGATTATGAATATGTTTGTGCCTGGTATACAAAGAGGCTTCTAAAAGTTTGTAGAAAATAGAATGAAATGGTAATGAAAATCTTCCACAAACTTTTTAAAAAAATCATTTTATTGGGGGCTCATACAACTCTTACCACAATCCATCCATCCATCCATTGTGTCAAACACACTTGTACATTTGTTTCCCTCATCGTTCTTAAAACATTTGCTTTCTACTTGAGCCCTCGGTATCAGCTCCTCATTTTTTCCACTCACTCCCTGCCCACCCATCCCTCATGAACCCTTGATAATTTATAAATTATTATTATTTTGTCATGTCTTACACTGACCGCTGTCTCCCTTCACCCACTTTTCTGTTGTCCGTTGTCCAGGGAGGGGGCTATATGTACATCATTGTGACTAGTTCCCCCTTTCTTCCCCACCTTCCCTCCACCCTCCCAGTATCACCACTCTCACCGCTGGTCCTGAGGGGTTCATCTGTCCTGGATTCCCTGTGTTTTCAGTACCTACCTATACCAGTGTACATCATCTGGTGTAGCCAGATTTGTAAGGTAGAATTGGGATCATGATGGGGGGTGGGGGGAGGAAGTATTAAAGAACTAGAGGAAAGGTGTATGTTTCATTATTGCTACACTACACCCTGACTGTCTTGTCTCCTCCCCATGACCCTTCTATAAGAGGGGATGTCCAGTTGCCTACAGATGGGCTTTGTGTCCCCACTCCATCCTCACCTTCATTCACAATGATATGATTTTTTTTTCTTTGATGCCTGATACCTGATCCCATCGACACTCATGATCACACAGGCCAGTGTGCTTCTTCCATGTAGGCTTTGTTGTTTCTGAGCTAGATGGCCACTTGTTTATCTACAAGCCTTTAACACCCCAGGCACTATATCTTTTGATAGCCAGGCACTATCAGCTTTCTTCACCACATTTGCTTATTCACCTGCTTTGTCTTCAGTGATTGTGTCGGGAAGGTGAGCAACATGGAATGCCAGTTTAATATGACACGGTGTTCTTTCATTGAGGGAGTACTTGAGTAGAGGTCCAATGTCCACCTGCTACCTTAATACTAAACCTATAAATATATGCACATAGGTCTATTTCCCCATCCTCATATATAAATATGCTTACATATGTACATGCTTTTATTAGGCCTCTATAAATGCCCTTTGCCTCCTACTTCTTTCCTCTATTTCCTTTTGTCCCACTATCATGCTCAGCTTTCATTTTGGTTTCAGTAATTCCTCTCGGTTACATTGACCTTGATCAAACCCTACCAGGCCTCTTATAGACTTACACCCTCCTTGCCACTGATTTTGAATCACTTGTTGTTCCCTTGTCCCTGAAGTTGTTAACACCCACATCCTTTCCCCCACCTCCTCTCCCATGTCCCCCAGAACTGTCTGTCCCATTGTATTTTACCTCCAGATTGTTTATCCCGCCTGTCTTATCTAGATAGACCTGCAGAGATAATACTATGCACAAAAACAAGACAGAGCTAAACAAAGCAACAAAAGAAAAGAAAACAAAATAACAACCAATGACACACACACAAAAAGTCTGTAAATAGTTCAGGTCTGTTTCTTGATCTTTAGGAGTGTTTTCCTGTCAAGTCTGATGTGGTGCCATGCCTTGGCCCCAAAGTCAATTTTTGGTATTCCCTGGGGAGTTCATTGCTCTGCTCCCCTTGCTCTTCTGTTACACCCCCGTAGTGTTTTGCCTCGGTGTGGTAGGGTCAGATCAGGTGCAGTTCCCACACTGTGTCTCCATTGTTGTTCCCTGTAGGGCTATGGGTCAGTGAGGGATGTTGTGTCTTGTAGTGGGGCTGGCCAGATGGTCCTCTCTTTTCTTTGGCTGCTCTGAGCGGGGATATTGTCCTCAGGGCTTGGTGGGCCAGGATGTGCTCCACTCTCTCTTCCTCCCCTTCATTTGCTCCCATGTGTTCTGATCAGACATGTCCCTCTTCCTGAGCTGTAGCTTCAGTGCTGTCCTTTGAAGTGAATTCTTCTGGGGGGAGGGGTGGCTGTCCATGTAGTTGGGATTGGGGCCGGCCCCTCCCTCAGACTCTCTACTGGTTCCCTGCTTCATGCTGGTATGTTGCATTCACACCGGGTTGAAGTCTGGTCCCTTTTGCTCTGTGGAGATATAAACAATCCCCTCCCTTTGGGTGGGTTATGGCCATGGTTCCCCTGAGCTACCCATTTCTTTTTTTTCTTTCCACCCCCTCCTTTTTAGTTGGCTACCATATGTATCCCTGGATTTGGTCTGGCCCCTGCCATACTACCTAGACCTCACCCCAGGAATGTTTGTATCCAGTAGTTTTTTCCCTATGCCCCTTTTGCATTTTTATTTTTAAAGCTTAACTCAGTGGACTCATGTTGTACTTGTCCTTTTGTGCTTGGCTTACTTCTCTTAACATACTTTCCTCCAGTTCTTCCCATGCGGCGATGTGCTTCATGAGTTCATCATTGTTTTTTAGCGATGCATAGTACTCCCCTATATGTATGTATGCACCACAGTTTTTTAATCCATTCATCTGTTGATGGAAATTTGGGTTGTTTCCAACTCCTTGCAATTGTGAACTGTGCTGAGATGAATATTGGAGCACAGATGTGTGGCCGTGGTTTGTTTCTTGTCTCTTCTGGGTATATGCCCAGTAGGGGGATTGCTGGGTCGTATGGTAGCTCCATTTCCATCTGTTTTAGAAATTGCCAAATCGATTTCCATAGTGGCTGTACATACCTACAGGTCCACCAGCAGTGAATGAGAGTTCCTATCTCACCACAGCCCCTCCAACACTTATTGCTTTCCGATTTTTTGAATGGGGCTATCTTTGAAGGTGTTAGGTGGTATCTCATTGTTCTTCCACAAACTTTGTGAAGCCTCTTGGTATCTCTCTGAGGCGCTGGTGGCACACTGTAGGATGACCATTGGGCTGCTGACCCTAATGTTGGGGTTTTAAACCCACCAGCTGCTCTGTGGAAGAAAGATGGCACTATCTGGTCCTGTAACACCTTACAGCCTCTGAAATCCTACATACTCTGAATCTACATCTGTTCAATGACTTGATAGTAAATGAATGTAATAATTTGAAGAACTCTAATTTTTATGCTATCAAGGGTTAATTCTTAAATATATATGTGTATGAAAGTCAAGTGAGTGACCTACTATTCTTTATGTTTTCATCCTTAGGAGTATATCCCTACTGTCTCCATTCTGTGCAATCCGGGAATGAGACCTCGCCACTGGGCCCAGATGTCAGAAATTGTAGGCTATGACTTGACTCCAGACTCTGGAAGTACCCTGAGAAAAATTTTAAAATTAAACCTTACACAATATTTGGATCAATTTGAAGTAATAAGTGCAGGTGCAAGCAAGGTAAACATAAAGATCAACTAACATACTTTGAATTTGCTAATCAAAACACTGTCATTCAAAACAGCTTTATTGTGAATTCTGAAGGAAATATTGCCCCATACTGGGCCATCCTCACAAACATTTCTATGTCTGAGCCCCTGCTGCATCCACTGTGTCAATCTCTCTCATTATGGGTCTCCTCTTTCTCTTGGAGGCCTACGCATCAGCAAGTTTGGCTTTTGGTTTGGTCTATTTTGTTGACTCTCTACCAAGAATGAGTCTTTTTTTTTTACTCATTTTATTGGGGGCTCGTACAACGCTTATCACAATCCATGCATCCATTGTGTGAAGCACTTTTGTGCATTTGTCGCCCTCACCATTCTCAAAACATTTGCTTCCAAGACTGATTCTTATTAGGAATTATTAAATTGTTAAAAATTTCTCTCATTAAAAAAAATACACTGTAGCTACCGATGATGTTGGAAATTTCTCCAAAATGCTTATCTGGTTAACTAAGGAAAGTCACTATAGTCAATAAGATCTTTTCTCCCACCACCCTATTCCTCTTCCTTCCTTCTAGGAATTTTCATTAGAGAAAGCCATGCACACAATGATGGGGACTTGGGATGATATTTCTTTTCATATAAGTTTGTATCGTGATACTGGAGTCTGTATTCTTTCTTCAGTGGATGAGATTCAGACTATCCTTGATGATCAAATTATAAAAACCCAGACAATGAGAGGCTCACCTTTCATCAAGCCATTTGAAAAAGAGATCAAGGTATGCTAAATATATTGAGCTCCTGGGCCTGGTCATTACAAAAAGTTGCAGTCTTTCTACATTTGTTCTCCCTGGGGATAGGTCAATTTGTTGGATCGGCTTTTAAGAAGTTTATTGAAATCAGACTATAATCTCGATAGTTTTCTAGTAAAACATTAGAACATATATTCAGAAACTGATAGAAATATATAGACTATATTTGAGAAAGTAAATAGTAATTTTGAAAAGAAAAACAGCTTCATCAAAATAAATCTTCTCCATCTTCAGCATTTTCTGATCTGTGTTCAGTATTACTAGTAGCACAACTCAGTTGTGTTGACCAACAATGCCTACAGACATTTGTCAAATGTCTCCTGGGTTTGGCATCCAAATTGCCTCTGGTAGTGAACCACAGATGCAGGACAACATACCGTATATACTTGAGTATAAGCTGAGTTTTTCAGCACATTTTTAATGCAGTTTTTGTGGTAAAATTAGGTGCCTCGGCTGATATTTGGGTCAGCTTATGCTCAAGTATATATAGTATATTTCTGGATGCTGTTTTGACTTGGAAGGAGGACCTAGGGGTTAGGAAATTAGACTCAGTAACGACCCAGTCATTTCTAATTGTGAATTTTAATAACTTCAGAAAAGCTCCGACTTCCTACCTAGAGTTTTTCTAAGGCTATGTGTGGTATACCCATAAGTGATATTGAACTGTTTTGCATTGATTTAAAAATAAGAGTAAAATTTGAACACTTTTCCACATTATAATTTCTACCTTTTCTCAAACAACTAGAACTAATACAGTGTGCTTTCCATTAAGGCCTGGGAGGACCGCTTGATTAGAATACAAGAAACAATTGATGAATGGTTAAAAGTACAAGCTCAATGGCTGTATTTGGAGCCCATCTTTTGTTCTGAGGATATTATGCAACAGATGCCGGAAGAAGGGCGTCAGTTTCTCACAGTAGACAGACATTGGCGGGATATCATGAGGTTTTGTGCGAAAGATCCAAAGGTGAAATGTTGATTTTCTCTCTTACATTAGATGAAATCTTTATTTTGGCTGCTAGCATAAGCATTTAAGCTTATGCTAGACTTTCAAGATAAGAAAAATATGAGGCCCAATCTCTTAGTACTCCTACATAGTTTACAAGTACAAAGGTAAAATCTGACCATTGTAAACAAACTGGAGAGTTCAGAAAACATTTTTTAAAGCAGCATTTTTATTTTCAAACCACAAGACACACATTACTTATACCTCATGTTCCATTATCTTCTGATTACATTTCCCCCATGAACTTTGGGAAGCCCCCTCATATAATGGAGCTGCTTCAAATATGCATTTAATTTCTGTAAAGATTCACAGCCTTGGAAACCCTGGGGCCAGTTCTACTCTGTCAGACGTGGTCTCCATGAGGTAGAATCAACTCCACAGCAGGGCTGTTTTTTTTTCAGGTTAATAAGACACTCTTGCCTGTAGATTAACCTGTTGTTGTTGTTTTCTGTAGATGACCAGATGGTAAATATTTTGGACTTTGAGAGACAGATAGTCTTGGTTACAACTCCAACTCCATAACTCTGCTGTCGTCTTTCTAAAGCAGTCATATATAAATGAATGGATCGCTAATAAAACTTACCTTCTAAGACGACAAAGTTTTGATGGGTTCCCCAAGTGTCATTTTCCTCTTGATTTGTTCCACTTTTTAAATGTGTAGAAGTAATTCTTTTTTTTTTTTTTAAAGAAGCAATTCTTAGTTCACAGACCACACAAAAGTAGGCAGCAGATTGGTGTAGATGGTTGAGTTTATGAGCGACAGTTGTAAAAATAGAAATTAAGCCACACACCAACCTAACAATTTCAGACATCATTTAAAAGAATGCAGGAAAAGGGAAACTATGAATGGCCATCATAACTTCTCGTTTGCACTTGGATAAGCATATCTAATTTGCTTTCTGGTGGCGGCATCTGGAGAACACGCACAGACATGGTACCTCACAAGAGAAGGAAGCGAAGGCCACCAGTCTTGGTGCTCAGGTGGCTGAAGCAGGGGATGTCTGGTGTCTGCCACATTTTTGCATCTTTCAGTTACACTTTTGTCCATGTCACTGATCTCTGGCAAGGAAGCCATCTGCATGTGACTGATAGGGTGAAGGTGATGCTGACTGAGCTGAATCTTAACCCTACATCTCTATGTTGGCTGCCCAGGATGTGGCCCAGAGGTACAAGGAGCTGGCATCACTGTCCTGCACATCACACTGTGAACCACAGGAGGAAACTGGACTAAGACCCTTGACCCAGGGGCCCAGTCTGCCCTCTGAGCCCTTGCCTGTTTGGGGATAAAGAGTGGGCAGATTGAGGATGTTATCCCATCCCCTGAGCACCTGATGGAAGAGTTGGGGTCACCAGCTGTGAATAGGATCTTAAAGTTATTTGTTTATTTATATTGGTTATTTTGTGTTAATAAATTGCCTTCACATGCATACATACACAAAATAGTTATGATTTATCATATTATAAGAGTTTACAAAAAACATAACCACTTCACTAAAATTTTTCTTAAGTACTTTAACATTTCTGAAATCATATCGATTCACATTCTGTCTCATTAAATGTTTACCTAGTCTGTGAACACTAATTAAAACAAACATGCATCTTTTAGGTTCTTGCCGCTACGTCATTAACAGGCTTATTGGAGAAACTGCAGAACTGCAATGACCTCTTGGAGAAAATTATGAAAGGCCTGAATGCATACCTTGAAAAGAAGCGCCTCTTCTTCCCTCGGTATGGTGGATGACTGATTCTTCTAAAACGATAAGCGGTTTCTGTTGTGTGATGAATTGGAACTAAAATGTTCGTATCTCTTTTTCATATGCTTTTTCTCCTAGTTTTTTCTTCTTGTCAAACGATGAGATGCTAGAGATTTTGTCCGAGACCAAAGATCCCCTTAGAGTTCAGCCTCACTTAAAGAAGTGCTTTGAAGGCATTGCTAAACTGGAGTTCCTTGCCAATTTGGACATTAAGGCCATGTATAGCTCTGAAGGCGAGCGAGTGGAGCTGATTGCACTCATTTCCACGTCGGCCGCCAGGGGCGCTGTGGAAAAGTGGCTCATTCAAGTGGAAGACCTGATGCTCCGGAGTATTCATGATGTGATCGCTGCGGCCAGACTGGTGGGTTTCCTTGGATCTTATGTGTGGCCTGTATGCTGCAAACGTTCCTTGTAGGAGGTCTTAAATGGGTCCTGATAACTCCACACTGAAAGTTCTTATAATTTAAACCATTCTTTACTATTATTCATATCAAACATAAAATACAACACTCTGATTCATATAAACTATTAGAAGTGATTATAACATGTAATTTAAGTGCAAACCCCAAAAAGGTGTTATGAGAGAAATAACAGGGTATATCACTTAGAGTGGGACAGGGTCAGCCATAGGCTCCCTGAGGAGGTGCCATTGAAACTGAGATCTGAAGGATCAATAGAAATGAACTAGATAGATAGTAAATGGGATAAACATCTCACTCAAAAATTCACTGTCTTTGAGTCAATTCTGACTCATAGGGACCCTATGGAATAGAGTAGAACTGCCCCCGTGGTTTTCTGAGGTTGTCTCTCTTTACAGGAGTAGAAAGCCCCATCTTTCTCTTGCACAGCAGCTCGGTGTAACCCACTACACCTGGGGCTCCTCGGGGAAAATCATCTAGGTATCTGGAATTAAGACCCTGGGGTCGGAAAGAACAGGGATGCTTAAGAACCTCCAAGAAGGAGTCGAGTGAGCAAAGTAGAAAGTGAAGTTGAATGAGGTTGTAAAAGCAAGAAGTTTTGGAATTAGCATTTTATTTTAAATGCAATGGAAAGCCACCAAAGGATTTTAATTAGCAGAGGAGCATGAGCTGGCTGACATTTTTGTATCATTACAGTTATTGTTACAAGGATCCTTGATGGCACTGTGGTAAGTATTGGAGTGCTAAACACAAGGCCAGTGATACAAATCCACCAGCTGGAAGACAAATGGGTACATAAGCAAATGTGGTGAAGAAAGCTGATGGTGGCTGGCTATCAAAAGATATAGCATCTGGGGTCTTAAAGGCTTGAAGGTAAACAAGCAGCCATCTAGCTCAGAAGCAACAAAGCCCAGATGGAAGAAGCA